CAAAGAAAGTCACATAGAACTGCTATGTTTTGGACCTCTTTTTTTGGGGTCCAAACTAAACCTATTTGAAAAACTGCTATGAACTTTAATAAATAACAGTAACATCTGATCCCACTCCTCTTTTCTCTTAGCTCATCATACCTACTGTCTGTAGGAAGCCTTTTCATACCCCCTACTATTCTCCCAGGCCTTCCTTAAGATATTATCTTCTAGGGATAGCTAGGTGGCACAGTGGATAGAACACCGATCTTGGAGTCAGGAAGACCTGAGTTCAAATTCAGCCTTAGATACATAATACTTCCTAGCTGTGTGACTCTAGGCAAGTCACTTAACCCCAATTGCCTCACTAAACAAACAAACAAACAAAAAAAGAGAATCATCTTTTATTTACCCTGGACTTATTTTGTATATATATACAGTTATTTGCATTCTCTCTCCCTCATTAGAAAATGGGCTCCTTGAGGGCAGGGCCCTTACTTTGCCTTTCTTTATATTCTAAACACTTTTCACAGTGCCTAGCACCACAGCAAGCACTTAATAAGTGCTTATCGATTAAATAATGGCAATAAAAGAGCCAAATCTCATGGGACTGACAGGCTTTAGAATAATTTCTTTTTCTCTCACCCTTCTAAACTAAATTTATTTTTAACATTGACATAAACTTTAACAAAGTAATAACAATAACTTATTTGCTTCTGTGCCCCTTCTAACAGTCTCCCCTTTTCCCCTCCCTCCTTTTCCTCCCTGAGTATAAAACCATTTATTTCAAGGTAGAGAATTAAAACAAAGAAAAGCACAGTTATTCTGATGCTCTCTCTAGGAGGGAAATTTTGGAAAAAGTCGTCAGAAGTTAGAGGAAAATAGCATACAATTAGGAACTCATCTGCTTCTCCTCCCAATCCTGTTTCCTTTCCCACCTACACCTTAAAACAATTTCCTGCTCTCAGGGGGCAGAGGGCCTTCCCCTTGGGGCCACCCTGAGAGGTTCAATAGAATAGCCTTACTCCACCCAACCCCTGTGACAAGATCCTTGCCTTTGGATTAGGAAGTATGTCATGCTAATATTAGAAGTTGTAATAATATCAAACTACTCTGATACCTTCTGGCAATGTGGAGGTGACCCTATGTTCTCAAAGGCTATGCCTGGGAGCACAAACAATGACAGATTCTTCTAAAATGACAAGGGTTGGCGATGGGCTCAGTGACAGATTTCTAGTCTGTTTTTCAAGGAGCAGCCTAGCTAATGCCTGCTGGTCCCTAGGGGGCTAGCCATGGGGTGATAAGTTTTTCTGCTATAGCACAGATTACCAAGCCTTGGAGGGGTGAGGTATGTGTGTCAGTAGAAGGGATGAATATTGTAATGAATGAAACCACAGAGCTTTGAAGGGATACAATTTAGTATCACACATTCTAGAGTACTTTACAGATTCTAAAGCAATTCAACAGACTTTATCTTCTCAAGTCTCCAAGAACAACCCTATGAGTTTCATAAGAGTAATAGAGACTTTGGACAAACCCTTAAGGCTACCTAATGAAAGGTCTTCCCAGAAAACGAAGGGTGGCTGGTAAAAAAGGAACAAATCCTATCAATGACCGGAGTTTATCTAGAGAAGACTGCACACATCTTACATCTTAAAGTACTCTTATCCTTAGATCAACAGGAAGGTCTACTGTGGATCAGGTGGGGATAATCTAACCAGGCTTCTGAGGGAGATTCTATAGTACAATTGAAGGAGTTCTGGCTTTGGAGCAAAGAAATTTGGATTCAAATCTTGTCTCATACACTTAGGACTCATTTTTTGGGGGGCAAAATGTTTATTTTCCTTTGCTTTAAATCTCCTCAGGAGATTGTCTTGGGTCTGGAGTAAGGAAGACCTGAATTTAAACCCAGACTTGGATACTTACTAGATGTGTGACCTTGTATATATCACTTAACTTCTGTTTGCCTCAACTGTAAAATGGGGGTAAAAATAGCACCTACCTCCCAAAGTTATTGTGAGGATTAAATGAGATAACTATTTGTAAAGCATTTGCACAGTGCTTAGCACTAGTAGTATGGTAGTATGGTAGTAGTAGCATAGCAGGTACTATATAAAGATTTACTATCATGACGATGATGATGATGGATTCCTTTAAGTCCCAACTAAAATCCTGTCTTTTACAGGAAGCCTTTCCCAACCCCTCTTAATTCTAGAGCCTTTCCTTTGTTAATTATCCTGAGTAGAGCTTGCTTTTTATATATTCGTTTGCCCATTGCCTCCTCTGTTAGATTTTAAGCTCCTTGAGGGCAGGGACAGACTTTTGTCTCTTTTTGTATCCTTGGTACTTAATGGTGCCTGGCATATAGTAAGCATTTAATAAATGCTTATTGATTTGATCATTAAGATGGGAGCTTGGGGGTAGATGGCTTCAGAGGTCTAAATCTATGCTCCTATGAATTATTAACAATGAACTTTAACCAGAGGTATTTATCTGGGCCAGCAGAGAATATGGTGTGTCCTGTTCTATATTTTATGGACAAGGAGAGCAATACCCACATGTTTGGAAGATTTTCCCAAATGCTTCCAGGTGTGTGAGGCTGTCTGCTCCAAGTTGCTTCCTGCTGGAGGTGAGCCATATACACGCAGCATTTGGATGTCATAAGGACTCTGGGCTGTGTTTAGAAATGGGTCTTATGTCTGTTTTTATAGTAACGCTGAAGAAATAAGCAGGGCAGAAAATATAGCAATTGTCAGCATAAAGCAGCAGTTGCTGCTATTTTCCTGCCTCTGTATGCAGTCAATTCACATCACCTTTCCACCCCTGCTGGAGGGTGGTCAGAATAGAAGGAACACTGGCTCTGGCCCTAGGATTTAAAGTTGGAAGGGACCTTAAGAGATTATCTGCTCCAATCTCTTGTCATTCCAACATATGAGGAAACAGCTGAGGCCAGAGAAAAGTGCCTTGCTCAAGGATATACAGCTGATAGGTGGTGAAGCTGAGATTTGAACTCAGATCTCTTGATTCTATTTCCTAGACCTCTCTGCCTTGGGCTGTGTAGTTACAGCTGGCTGATCATGCTGCCAGAGAGTGGAACCTGAGAGGGGTTGGGGGAGGTGCTGAAAAATCATAATGCTCCTTTCCAGATACTGACAAGAACTGTAGGTTAGAAAGAGACAAGGAGCTGGTGCTATGGTTTGTACCTGATCTGCATTTTCCCCACATTCACTGGTTATGCAGAAGATGACAAAGTTCCTGGGAATTCACTCCTTGAGAATGAAGGGCTTCCCGAGCAGAGGGCAGCCAAGAAATTGTGATTAGAGAGGTTCAGGATGCCCGTGGAGAGATGACATAGTTAAAGTGACTGACATGATGGCAAGTCAACCAACATTTATCAAATGTTTTCTATGTACTAGGCATTGTGCTCAATGCTGAGGATATAAAGAAAGGGCAAACGTGTGATCCCAACTTTTAAGAAGCTCACATTCTAATGGGGATGACATCATCATCATCACCATCATCACTAGCATTAATATAGTGTTTTAAGGTTTGCAAAATGCTTTTTGTGTATTAACTCATTTTATGTGAGCAACTACGTAGACTACAGAAAGAGAGAGAAGGGAGAGAGAAAGAGGATGAGAGACAGGGAGAGAAAGAGGAAGAGGAGAGAAAGAGGAAGAGGAGAGAAAGAGGAAGAGAGAGGGAGAAAGAGTGAGAGAGAGAGACAGAGGAGAGAAAGAAAGAGGGAGAGAAAGAAGAAGAGAGAGAGAGGGAGAGAAGAAGTAAGAAATTTTTTCTGTCATTTTCTTAAGTCTAGAAAATCACCTGGTTTGTAGCATTTGCTGATTTCTGAGGTGTAAATAATCACACTTTCTGAAAATTTAACAACAGGCTTTCCAGAAATGATGTGATCTGGCACTAGCACATCCCTGGGATAATAAGCTGAAAAAGTAGAATTAGGGAGCTATGAATTTAAGTCCTTTCTGTGCCTTAGTTTTTTTCTTGAGTAAAATGAGTATATAATGCTGCTTCCTTTCCTTTCTCTGTCCAAGAATCTAGTTCTCTCTCCATTATGTGACTGGCATTGCTCCCCAAAATAAAGGGTGCATCAGCTCCAGAGAAGTCAGTATATTAGACCTTTGAGAATGGCACTTGGGCACTGTTCCCCAAATTTCTGCTACATCATAAGAAACAACCATCCCTGAAGAGACACGGAAGTAGTTAGATTCAGAAGCTAAATTTCCCCCTGTACATCCAGGATATCAACTCCTTGTGAAGGGACATTTTTTTCATCCCATTAGCAGATCTGAAAGGCTGGTTCCAGTCCTTTGAACTATTCACTTGCAAAGAAAAATGACACATCAGAGCATTATGCTATAGAAGAGTATCTGAAAAGCCAGTATTGTAAGACACCATAAAATTACGTGGACTTTAGAAGTGATTGGATTGATTAACTAAGACTTTAGATTGTGTAATAATGAAACACAGACAGGGCTCGGTAATGAAATGCCCTAATTGATTTTATGCGGATGGAACAACACAACCCCGAGAGAGCATGCTATAATGAATTTGCATGCTGCGAGCCTACAGATTTCACAGCGGGTCAGTTATACCACCCAGATCCTATGGCAAGCCCCGTGTTTCTAAAACACAAACTCCCCACTCCCAATGCCCCGAGGTCTAGGCTAATTAGTTAGAATGGTGTTAGAGCCTGGGAGAACAGCCCACAAGCATCATGGATATGTTAGTAATCTGAATGTTCCTTCCAATGCATGGCAGCAGCGGCACACGGACGCACCAGCCACGACAGCCTTTTGGAGGACGTGAACGCCCACCGGGCCAGGATTCAACAGCCCTGGTTTCAATTAAATTTAAGTGGATTCAACTAGAAGTTTGAGCTGATGCTAATTGGTTTTCAAAACATCGGGTAACAATAAGGGTTCTGCTTTTCCGTGCCTTTTGGAAGGATGCACCCAGCCTGGCCCCTTGCTTTTCAGAATGTGGGCCCACAAGTAGCTTACCTTGAAGGGCAGGGATCCAAATTGCAGGATTTCAGGAGCTTCGGTGGCCGGCGGCTAGTCACGCACAGGCTTTCATCTGCGGTCTCCCGCGTCTGTTTGTTCAGGCAGCTCACCACAGCCTCTTGGACACCTGCGCACAAATCACACCATCAGGCCACGGGTGCAGGGAAAGCTCAGAAATAAGGTGATGAAGTGTAGACAAGGGAACCGGTGGGAGGTCCTGGTGGCTGGTATGGATCCTGGAGCTTGTCAGAATGGGCAGTTCAAAGTTCAGAGCTGCCAATCTCATCAAGAATCACTTGATCAAGGGAGAAAGTGCTCAGAGATTTGTGGCCTCTGAATGGATGCCCCTTGAGGAGGGCAGTCAAAGGAAAATAGGCAATGGAAGTTCCAACAAATATAGCCCTGTATCGCTGAGTGCCATGGCAAACAAGACGCCACCACAGTTTCACCACCGATGGTGAAAAGTGATAATTTAATGCAGAAAGAGGGTAGGGTGTAAAAAAAAAATGGCTCTATGACCTTCACACTTTCTGTTTTCATCAACAGGGGACTGTTGTACTTGGAATGGAAGCACGAACCAATAGTGTAAGATCCAACGTTTTGTAAACTGGAGTCACTGTCAAAGATCCGTGTTCTTTAGGTGCCTCAGCACCCAGGGCTTAAAGCCTTCTCTTGCTTCCTCGTGATTCTGGCTCGTTGCTGCAGAGACCTGGTACAGGTTTGGAAGTTGGAATGAAGAAAGGGAAGTGAAGGGCTGTGCTGACTAATTCCATTTAAAACCCTTTTCTTTGTAGTTTCGTGAACCTGTGCCAGTAGAATAGAGGGTTTCTTGGCAGTCCATGCTTTAGGGGCAACCCCCCCCAACTCTAAAGCCTGTGCCTCCGTGCCTGGAGGCCAAATGTGTAGGAGCTTTAGAAACCACTCCACCTCTGTTACATAGAGTATCAAATGGCAGCAATTGGCGTTTTTCAAATACCAAGAGACACAGTAGAATCTGCTTCCCCAGTGATCAGCAAGAATAACTTAGACACTAATTTGTCTGAGATAATTTAAGTACAGTCCTAAGGGAGAAGGCCAGATAGAACATTCACTCAAAGTCACTTTCAGAGATATATATATACACATATATACATATATACACATAAAATGCATGTGTATATACATATAATACATCTATACACACATACATCTAAATATCTATAAATATATGTATGAATATACATTGCTGTATATATCTTTTATATTATTATAATGCTCTATTATATAGTTCATTTTATAAATTCTATATGTATCTACCCATAAAACAATGAAAAATAGACTATATATATTATATACATGTACCCTTGAATGAAGTCCCACTATGAACCCCGACAATGGCATGGATGTGACCCTACAGTATTAAAGAATGATGCTCAAATTCCAGTAGGACATTTTAGCCTGGAAAAACTTTGCATTCGGTTCTAGTGACAGGTCCATATTTGCCAATCAAGGACCAGTCTACATAAGGTGTAGGTAGGCTTATCAGCAGAGGGTTGACCACCAACCGATACATTTTTTTTTCACTCACCACAATTTACAAAGACTGTTTACTATGACTCAGAGGCACTGTACGCTATGATAGCTGACGGAGGGTCCAGAGAGATGAAATCATGGATTCTTGGAGCCTAAGTATGTACATACACACTTTATATTATGTGTGTACACACATACACACATATATTATCCAATTACATATCCACATCATTGGAGGGAATACCAACATTCATTAAATGCATGAAAATATTGATATAAAATTATGTACATATGTATTAGTTATATCTTAATTTGAAAATATTATAACAACCAATTTGTATGGTGCTTTAAGGTTTACAAAGTGAATAAAACAAAATAGGAAATATTATAGCCATTGAACAGATAAGGAAATAGATTTGAAGGGGATAAAGGATTTGTCTATAGTCACATAGCTGTTAAGGTCAGAAGTAGGACTTGAATCTAGGTTTTTTTGTCCCTAAGACCATGATATTTTCACTATCTTTCTGAGTGCACATAAAGGACAAACCACAACTTGTGAATAGTCAGAGCTGCCCACTAGGGACCCAAGTGGTCAGTTCCAGTTGGGCAACACTGGTCCTCCCCTCCTTTCCCCTCCCCTCCTCGGATATCATGCCCTTACCTGAGGGTTCTCTGCCCAAAGGAAGGTAAATCTTGAAGGCTGAAACCTACCTTGATATCCTGGGGTTTACTGGCTATACTTCTTTATTAAAGACCACTTTTGAAGCCCAATTCATTCTGGCTTTCATTGATTGGACAACAATAGTTTCCTGCCCAAGCACCACTCAGTGTTCGTTTTTTGGGCCCTCCTGGCCCAGAATGAATGAATGTAAATAGTAATTGTTTCTCTTTTGGCCAGAAACCCTGAGGGTCTTCCCTTCCCAAAGTTTTTTTTTTTTAGTTAAAGGGGCCATCCCTTGGTTCACTTCTTAAACAGCCCTAATCACTGAATGGGTGTTGCTTCAGTCAAAACTGAAGAACTCCTAAAGACCTTAGCTTAAAAAGGCCAAGGTCTCCCATCACATCCTGGGCTATCTCCAGTCATCCTGATCTATATCTGGTCACTGGACCCAGAGGGCTCTGGAGGAGAAAGTGAGATTGGTGACTTTGCACAGCCCTCCCTCACTTAAAACCAATTCATGATCTTCCTGATGTCATGGTCCTCTTTGAGAACGAAAGACAAACTACACACAATATATAATCCACATTTTCTAATCAAATCTTTCTTTGTACTCACTTGTCATTCACCAGTTAGTTCATCACTATTAGCCAGTTTTATAGTGGAAGCCTTTTATCTCCTTTCCAAATTGTTTCCCAAAGAAATTCTTGCTCTCATCTTAAGACCCACAGATGAGTCTCAACATTGACCTAGAATGTTCACTTAGAATGCCTATTGCTTTAAAAGTATTTGGTTACTGTCTATCAAACCCACACATCCTCTTCTTCATCTGTAAAATAAGCCAAAATTTTCTCAAACAAAATGTTTGACATCAGCCTTTTAAAAATGTTGCCATGGGTGCACTCTCTCCATTTTCATCTCTTGTGACTTTTAAAGAAATGAGGTTCAAGATTTAATTTGAATCTTCTTAGGTCAAAAAAAAATCTGTGTGATGTGTGGAAGGGTTTCATTGGTAGGTACTCATAATCACTACATATAATAGTATATCACATATTATTGGAGGCTTTTGAGTAATGGTTGGATGACCATTTGTTGAGTCTTAAAAGTCCGAGTCTTTGATTGAATACAAGATATATGTGCCATAATAGTTCATTCTAATTTATTTTCCTACACATCTGGCTATGAAAGTTCCAAACAATTTTATGTGTATGAAAGGAGACGTGTCTATGTATCTAAACTAAAATTAAACTCCTCCTTTTGTTAAAAGATAAGTTTACAGGAAAAATAGTTGTAAAAGGTTATGTTTACAACTTATACTTTAAGATTTTTATCTAAAAGTCTCAGAAGAGCAGATACATATGTATGTGCCATTAATCTGAATTTAAAACCAAAATTTAAAAGGCCCCAAACCATCTTCTCATTCATGTTTTAGCAATTTAAGTATCGTTATTTTTTAAAACAATATCTGGTAAGTGAGAAAGAAAACTTGGAACAGACAAAATTTATACTGAAAGACCGTGTGGTCTCTGGATTTACATTTAGAAAGCTTGGGTTTGGGCCCCAGTTCTGTCACCTGTAAGCTGTGCTGTTCAGTCACCTTAGGCACATCCCTTTGCTTTTCTGAGTTTCAGATTCTTCATTTAAAATCATGATAATAAGGTGTCTGTAAGACTCAAATAAACTCATCAATGGATCAAATATTTTTAAATTGTCCTCTTAATGCCAGGCATTCCCAGGTAGGCCCTGGGAATAAAGTCAGAAAAAACAAAACAATTCCTATTCATACCAAGCTTCCATTCTAATAGGGGAGACGATACATAAAGTGCTTTGTAGCCCTAAAGTTTATTTCACATCACTCTACTTCTTATACTCAACATTCTCCCAGTCAAACTAGACTACTTGCATTTTCCTATCTCTGTGCTTTCTTCATAATGCTTCCTGTACTTTAAATGCTCAGTGCTCCTCTTAGGGCATTTCTCCTTGTCAAAATTCAACCCATCCTTCAAGACCCAGATCCTATATCACCTCCTCCAAAAAAAGCTTTCCCTAATTCCATCTTCCCCCACCTCAGGTGATCTCTTTCTTTAATTCCCATAGCACTTTACTTACATCTCATATACTGTTGCTATATTCTCTTTGGTATTATACATATTGGTATAATATGTATATTATAATATGTAATATGTATATATAACATGTAATAATATATAATATATAAAATATATTTGTATGCACATCTCAATTCTTCTACTATATTGTAAGATTCTTGAAGGAAGTCATTGTGCCTTACATTTCTTTGAATTTATACCAGCCCATAGCTCTGTATCTTAAATATAGTAAGCTTTTAATACAGATTTCTAATCAGTCATTATCACCTAAATGAGGCAAAACTTTCATTTCTTGGTCAAAATACCAGGGAAAGAACTTATAAAGAAAAATACACTATGAAAAAGTACCTTTTATTTTCCTGAAATATCCTTGATGTCAAGTTCTCTATCACTTGGATTTTGATATTGATCTATTTGCTTAATATTTAAGCATTATGAAGCTGATCAGTTTCAAATCTGGTATCGAGCACAACTGTTAGTTCACATATGGGACACTGACATAAAACAAGGAGGTAAGAGTGGGACCCAGGACACAAATCTAAGAGGTTTAGGTTTGCTTTCAATCTTCCAGCAAATGGGATTTTCAGTGTTTATATCTACCAGAATAGCATAATTGTTACATGATATTTGATGACAGCTCTGGGAAATATGGCCACTAACGACAGGCTAAATTACTAACTAGTTCCTTCTGCTTGCTACCTCTGCAAGGTGAAAGGTTACTTTTGCATCTATTTAGTTTCATCTCTTGAGACTACAAAAGCAATAAAATAATCTTGACCTATGTTGCAACCAAAAAATTGATTTAGAATCTATTCATTAATCCTGTACATTTTTGGTTGACTTTAGGTAAAATGATTAATATATATGTATATATGCATTTATTATATAAATGTGTATACACACACATATATGTATATGTGTACACACACACACACACACACACACACTTATAAAATCTCCTGGGTAACATTTTGGTGGAAGATCAAAGTTGATAAGACAATAAAATGTTGCTGTCAAGCAATGACTTTAAAATATACATTCCATATATTGAAAGGGCTTTTTAAAAGTTCATATGGACATCATATGAACCATATTTCCATGCATATTTTCACCACTTTGGAATTTTCAACTGTAGAATTTTAGAAGTAAATATTACCTTGGCACAGTGATACAACTATAGGTAAATGTGTTCAGTTGTTGACAGTTTGAGACCTAAGAAATTTCAGTAACTCTCCTCTCTTGGCTCTGTAAGATGTATAATTTATGTTATACAAAGACTCAGCTCCTACAGGCATGGATCAACTGGTGCATCAAACATTCAGATCTTACTCCCAAATCAATACACAGAAAATGTTTTAAATTAAATACATTCCATATATACAATATACTTTGGATCTTATGTTCCCATTTGGTCAGTGGAATGACTGGATTTTTGAAGATAAAGGCATATAGTTATTTATATATTCCATTACTGAATCTATTTTTTCCATCTGCTCATAAAATTGGAGGCTCAGCTTACTGTAGCTGAAACTCACGACTGCCTGGGTTTAGCTCATATATAAATATCATTTTGTATCAAGTGTATTTTTCTTAGGCTAGAAATAGTCATTAATCAATTCTATCATGGAAATTAGGGACAGAAACTCAACTGGCTCATCTCCTGTTCATCACCCTGGCAGAGGAAAGGGACCAAAGGCTATGACAGCCTTTCCATTAGATCTCTCAGCTTCCCCTGTTCTTTGTGATAACAAAGTCTTTTAAAACATCTCTAGTTCTGTATGAAGTGATGCCCTGAAAATGTATAAGCAAGCAATACATGAGTGGTTTTCCAGTAAGCTGCCTTACAAAAATCAGCTGGAAGAATTTAGACTTTTAAGTACCAGGACTCTCCATTAAAACCTTTTTGAATTCCAGAGTTTGAAATTGGAAGACTTGGAAACAAACAAGAGTCCCAAGGTCAGGCCATTAAATTCCTAGTAAAAGACCTGTTGTATAAAAAGACCATTTTCTTCTTGCCATTGTTCCATTTTTCAATGCCTTTTCAACTCCACTGTGAGCTCTTTGGTCATATTTATTATTCCACCCTCAATGATGATGAAAGATGCCTTAAAAATGCAATGCCCAGGGGACTTCTTGTTAGCATTTTAATATTACCTAATTGGGAATCTTTGGTGATGAAAACATTTCCTGATATCAAGACCCTTCCACACCCAAAGGGTTTTATTGACTGCTAATGAGTGAGGTTGGCAGGGGCTCTCCCATGATTTCCTGTGTCACTATTATGTATTTGTGGGGAGAGGTGGGAAGAGGAGAGCAAGACAGACAAAATGTTGATGCTGTCACGTATACTCTCATTCAGCAACTCATGACCCCAAGACCTTTAAAGATAGCCTGTATCAAGCAATGGATTCTGGAATCTGCTAGTGAGTAGCAGATCCATACAGAATGTCATTATAGGACTTCATTTTTTAGCTCATGACCTTGACCTTAAGTCATTCTCCAAGTGATAAGGAAATAGTGTATGTAATACATAAAATTCAAGAGAACTAGGTTTTAGTTCCAACTCTGCTACTCGCTGTGTGATATCGGTATATGTTATCTTATTTCTTTGGACCTCAGTGCCTTAATCTATAAAATGAGAGAAAAGGACTCTTAAAATCCCTTTTAGCTCCAAACTTCTAACATCTAAACAGATATATTAGGGAGACAGTCCAATGTAATAGAAAGAATACTGGGCTTAGAATCAAAGCCTTAAATTTTTGGTCTATTATCTACTGTATGTAGGGCTTTGGGAAAATCACTTCCCTTCTCTGTCGCCCAACTTCTCCATCTGTTAAAAAGGTATAATAATATCCATACTACCAAACCACATTGTAGTGAGGATCAGATGAGTAATTTGTTTAAATAGCTACGTAAAGTGAAAGCACTGTCCAAATAGCTGCAGGCACCATTAGGGTTAATTATGCCATCCACGTAACTATTAATTATCCAAAAATTTTAAAATGTCCCCAGGAGGTACAACCTGTTGATATAATCGGAGTGTCAAATAATTCAGTGGGAATATGACAGTCTGGTTAGACATCCCATGTCTTGGTTCATGTCACATACTCTGAGACAAGAGCATAGATAAATGATATTGCATGTCAAGGGTTCCACCATGTTTATGTCAATGATATTTCCCAATCAGCGGTACTGAGACTGTATTGTGAATCATCAGAAAGACAACTGCAAGTAAGAACATTAGCTTCATAGGCCACTCAAGGCTGACAGCATGAAACCCAGTCAGGCCAAAAAAAAAAGAAAGAGCAATACATCTGTGTTTCATTTTGTCTAACTCTGCGTTAAGACCTCTTTCCTCCACTCCCTCCCTCCCACCATCCTTGGAACAGAGGCAGTAAACAAATCTTTCGCACAGCACATTTGCACACAGAAAGGGAAAACACGAAGACAGGACAAAACATGGAGAAGGGAAAGGGGTTTGAACTGAATTTGCCCTTCTCACCTCCTCCACAGGACTCCGAACACTCCGTGAAGCCCTCATACTCCCAGTCATACAACTCGTCAAAATCCTGCAGGCCACCATAGAGCAGGTCTGTCTCCTCAGGATTATACTCAGAAATTTCCCCGTTGCAAGGTCCGGCATAGCAGGCACGCTGGGAGACTGGCTTGGGACCTTCACATTCGTCGACGGGCAAATCAGCCACAGACTGGGAGAAAGACAGCAGCACCTGGCACTTCACCATCCTCACCTGGGTGCCCACACCACAGGTGACCGTGCAGGCTGACCAGGCCTCAGGGATGAATCTGCAGCAGGCAAGCAAACAAGAAGACAAGATAAGAAGTCCCGAGAGGGACAGCATAGGGGATAGAAGCTGCAGCATCCCTTATCTGAGAGTTTTTGTGGCTACAAGCCACCCTGTCTTAAGGAGGTGGGCTTCATTTTAGCTCATGAGCTGCAAGGCCACTGTTTCTGGATGGGTTTCTTCACAAGTGTTATTTGAACCCCTGGCTGCAAAGCATTCCAATGACCCAGACCACCTGCTGCTTAGGGGTTGCCTGGCCTCCTGCTTTGCACCCCCAGTGTTAGCTCATCAGGGAAGGGAATTTATTTTTTCTCTCCCTGCTCTAAATACCAGCATTTGTGCACGCTACAAAATTCTAGGAATTCTTACAGTGCAAGAATGATGATGCTAATAAGTAGTGTATAATAAGCTCAGGGAGTTGGGGGAGGGAGGATGGCAGGATTTTTTAGTCTGGACCTCACAGTCTGAAACTTGCTCTACTTTTTAGTTTAGTATGCTCTTCAAAAAAAAAATATATATATACATATATATGCACCCGTATATGCAAACATGCACATATATATTTGTATGCATATGTTTAGGATTCTAGAATAATGAATCAAGATGTGGAAGGCACCGTAGGAGACATCTAGTTCAATGCCCTCATTTTATAGATGAGAGAACTGAGGTTCAGGGAGAGAGTGATCTTATATCTATAATCACACATATATATTTAGAGGTTTCCAAGAATGTAGGGAAGGCCTGATCCTTACACATTCTTTTAATTAGTCTGAACTATGATTCTTTTTATAAAGTAGAAAAATGCTATGGTATAAATTTAGGCCCACAGGCACGCCATAGTAAATGGGTGGTTTTGTGTTTATACCAGTTTGTTTAACCCCAAAGACGAGTCATTAGAAATTTTCCACACTTGTCAGAACTATTTTCTCAATGCTTGTCCAGAATCCAGGGTGATGCCCCAAATTCCAACCCAACATTTTGATATTTCCCAGAAGTATTCAAAAGCAGTGACCGTGGGCCAGGACCAAAACTCAGGAGGAGCCAGTGACCTTTTCTTTTTTCTACTTAACACAATGTGTGTCACAAGATCTTGAGGATGACATTTCGAGTTCTCCAAGATTCGACTGCTTTCATGGGAGGGCCATGTAAAATACAAAGCAGGCACAAAAACCTGGCTTCTGTTTTCTCCACTTGGCAGGAAAGGAAAGAATTGATAAGAAGGTCATAGCATGAAACCCATATCAAGTACAAACGTTTCATGTTTAGTTTGGTGAAGTTGAAATCCCACAGGAAAAAAAAACCCAACCAAGTCCAAGTTTTCAGACTCAGGAATATGACACTGATCATCCCTGGGCCCAGGGCTATGTTCTGCCAAGGTGTATGCAGCAGTGAGGATAGGGCAATAAGAGTGCAACTCCACCCAGAGCAACAAACACAACCACAAGTATTTGGCAGGCATAGCTTAAAAGTAAGACTTCTTTGTGAATATCTGCCTGCCCGGTCACAATCCAGCCCTGTCAGAAAGGAGAAGGAGGAATAAATGACCACACAGGATCTCTTCCATGGAATTGTTCATCATAAACTTTACTCCCTTACTTTTTCATTGTGAAGTTGATTTGACTATTGAGGTTTTCAGAGATTTAATGCAAAAATGACACAAAAAAATATGTGTAACTTTGAAGTGGTGTCATTCTTAGAAACCTTCAGTGGTCTAAAAAACAAAAGCATACATTCAAAATGACCTTCTCCTAACCACCCCACACACCAATTCTACATGCACATATACCCATAGAACTTACTATGTGAATACAACCCATGGAAGCAAGAATGTCAAAACAGAATTTAATTTTTTTAAGAATAAGTCCTTCACTAAAGTCTTCCTCCGTATGGTCTGGAGGTGATTCTAGCAGAGCATAAATTCTTGCAGGTCCTACCAAATAGGAAGTTCACTGAATACAGATCCTAGGAGTGTAGTGAGTATGCCTGTTTCCTGAAGACCAGCCTACTACCCAAGTTTCAAGATGCTCATCACAAGGTCAACTGCAATGTTATGGATTGTTTGGCTACATCAACTCTCAGACATAATGTACTATGTCATAGATGGCTCTGTATCTGTTTTGCTGAGGAATTGCCCATACTGGTGAAATCACAGGTCCCAGAAATATTCAATTATAAAATTATAAAAGCAAAAGAAATCACACGTATGTGTGTGCCAATCCTGGCCCATAGGAAGTACTTGATAAATGCTTGTTGATTGACTGGCATGTGTAATTCCATGGAGTTCATCAATATGTATAAAAATTAGGTCAAATTATGGACTGCATGTCCCATTTTAACAACCTTTCTCTTTTTTATTAATTTATTTTGATTTATCAACAATCACTTCCATAAGCTTTTGAGTTTTAAAATTTTTCTCCCCCTCCCTCCCCAAAATGGTGCACAATCTGATATAGTCTATACATACACATTCCTATTAAACATATTTTCACATTTGTGATGTTGTAAGTAAGAATTAGAACCAATAGGAGGAACTACCAGAAAGAGGAAACAAAACACAACAGAAGAAAAAAAGAGCAAATAGTATGCTTCGATCTGTATTCAAACTCCCTAGTTCTTTCTTTGGATGTGGATAGCATTTTCCATCATGAGGCCTTTGGAGATGTCTTAGATCTTTTCATTGCTGAAAAGGACTAAGTCTATCAATATTAGTCATCATACAATGTGCTTTAACAGCCTTATTCTTACAAGCAATTTATTTTCCTAAGAATATGGTGATATGCCAAGGCAAAATGGCAAGCCTTGGAGTCTGGAAGGCCTGGTTTGAGGTTCCACCACTGACATACTAGCTGGACGTGTTAGTTGGTTCCCTAGGCAACTCTCTAAGACTATACATTGCACAACAGTAGCTCATCTGCTTTGGTAGAGGGAGTTGCCTCACTGATGGAATCACAGCTCTGGACCAAATAATATGGTGGACTACCTAGGGAGGATTTATTGGAGAACATGCAGAGGAATGGTAGAAGATAAGCAGGCATAAGTGACTGGGATTTCTATCATTGTTGGGATGGTGGGAGAGCCCACCTTGATAGAATCACAAATCCAGTGAAGTAATAATATGGTGGCAGAAAGATATTTTCTTGACAGTTAAGAAGATAATCTCAAAGGAAACAACTATTTTACAATTTCTTTTCCTTGTCCCATAAATGCTATTATCTATGACCCTACCACCACCCCTTCCAACCTAAATTCTATAATGATTTCTATGACCTATGCTATGGAGCATTTTTCTTTTATCAGTAGTCTGTTACCCAACAGAAGAGAGAAATGAGAAGCTGAGGATATCATTGAGGATATTATAGGTAACTGAAATTTACAAGGAGTTCCCAATTCTCATTTTATATCTTAACTTCATTTTCTTCTCTCAAACTTTTCTATCAGGCCTACCAACTAATGAAATAGTTTAGTGACATAGTGTAAAGAATACCAGAAACTAGGATCATAGGGTGGGAGGAAGCAGGATGGGATAAAGGTCATATAGTCCAAATCCCTAACTTTACAGATGAGGAAACAGAGCCCTTGATAGGTTAAGTGAAGTATCTAAGGTTACACATGACAGAGTTAGATTTTTGAACCCAGGTCATCAGATGCTAATTTTAGCGCTCCTTTCATTGGATTTAGAGCCAAAAGATCTGGGTTTGAATCCCATTTCCACTACTTACTACCTATCTGACCTTGGGCAAGTGATTATACCTCCTTGAGCCTTTATTTTCATCTATAAAATGAGGGGGTTGGAATCAATGATTTCCAAGTTCCCTTCATGTTCTGGATATTATAATCTCCATTTTCTCTACCTACCCTGGAGTGTATGTTCAAATGGGCATCAAAAGTGCCAAAAGGCAGGTAGCAGGAGGGAGAGTCTAGCAAAATGACTGAATTCTTCAAATTAGGTGATTAGTTTCTGAGAAATCAAGATGTCTATGCATTACCACCACTGTGGTATAGACCCTTATCAATTCTGGCCTGGATTATTACAATAGTTTCTAATTGGTCTTTTTGTCCCAACAAGTCTCTCCCCTTTCCAACCTATCTTCCACACAGCTGCCAATATGATTTTCCTAGAACTCAGGACTATGTCATTCATCTGTTCAATAAATTCCAGTGATTCTCTGTTATTGATATGATCAAACACAAACTCCTCTGTTTGGCATTTGAAGCCTTTAATAATCTGGCTCCACTCTACCTTTACAGCTTTGTTATCCATTATTCCCCTTCACACACTCCACAGTGCAATCAAACTCACCTTCTTGCTGCTGCTCATACATGATAGACCATCTCTGTCCCATACTCTGGAAATGTAAACTCTCAACTCCACCACTTAGAATCTCTCATCTCTGTTAAAGTTCAATTCAAGCACCACTTTTTACATAAAACCTCTCCTGATCCCTTGAATTGCTAGTGCCAACACCCTCCCAAAATACTTTGTATTTATTTTAAACACATTTTGTATATGATATATGAACATGGTATCTCCCATGATAGAATAAAAGCTCTTTGATGGCAGATACTAATTCATTTCAGTCTCTGCTATCACATTGCCTGCCATATAGAACAAACACATTCTTGTTGATTGAAACATTTTAGCGTGTGCATTTAAAATCTGTAGAATATATTAAAATACATAAAATGGAATGAGTATGCAAATGCAACTCCATGAACCATTTGTATTCTTACACGTTGGCAAACATCAAAATAATAAAAATATTTGGGTATTTCTGAATACATATCTATCTATCCAACTACAGCTGATATTGGAAGTATGAAACCTAAATTTAGGTCCTTAAAATTCCTAAAAAGCTTTCCTGATTCATTTATTTCCCCCTTTCCTGAGAGCCATTATTGGTTTATGTCAATCTCTGAAGAATCAAAGTTGCAGGCCATCCAAAATGTAATGGAGAGGCACAAAGTAGGTATGAGCAGGTTACAACGTATAATTAATAAAGA